TGGGGGGATCCCCATCATACCCCCCATCACCCCACAAAACCTCCATCACCCCACAAAACCTCCATCACCCTCCAAAACCTCCATCACAGCCCTCCAGTCATACCCCTCAAAACCCCCCTCACCACCCAAAATCACCCATCACCCCCCAAAGCCTCCACCAAACCCCTCCATCATCCACCCAATACCCTCCATCAACTCACCCCCCAAGCCCCCTGTCCCACCCCCCTGAAAGCCTCCTCAACATTCACCCCCTATCCCTCCCCTCCCTCTCTCCAACCTCTTCTTCTCTCCTTTTCTTTGGGATCGATCCCAAGGATTTCCTGGGATGGGCCATGGGGGATCGCCAGGGGCTGCCCAGAAAATCCCACCCAGCTTTGTGTGACCTGGAGTCCTGGAATATCTCAATCCCTTGGGATCTCCTGGCAGGAGTGGGAAAACACATCCCGAGGTGCCGGATTCCAGTGTTTGATGCTGGATTCCAGCCTGTCTTTCTCTTAGATCCATAATTCTCCCCGCTATGGGGCTCTTCCATGGCTTCATATGGGGTGGGAATAGCACCTGGAAAACTGAAAATCTAGGAAGGAGGGTGTGATCGGTGTGGGAAGGTGTGATCCCTGTGGCTGTGATCCCTGAGCAGGGTGTGATCCCTGCTCCCTGTGCAGGTTCCGGTGACCTTCGAGGACGTGATGGTGTACCTGAGCCGGGCTGAGTGGGACTCACTCCAGGCGGGACAGCGGGAGCTGTACCGGGACGTTGTGTTGGACACCTATGAGCTCCTGACATCCCTGGGTAATCCTGGGGCTCATCCTGGCGGAAATTCCCTCGGGTCTCACCCCAGCGGCTTCCACAGCTCAGAATCCCAGAATCCCAGAGGCACTGAGGTTGGAAAAGGCCTTGGAGACCCCGAGTCCAACCATCCCCCAGCACTGCCAATGCCAATGTATGTCTCCAAGTGTCACATCCACATGGTGCTGAAATCCCTCCAGGGCATCCATCCAGGCTGGACAGCCTTTTCCATGAAGAATTTTCCCAAATAGGGGCTGATCAGGGAGTTTAGTGCTGGAAAAGGCCGGATTTGGGTCTGGTTCTAAGCATCTCTGGAATTGTCATCCTGGGGATGGTCAAGGAGTGCAGAGGGAGATCCCACCCCCAGGATGAGCAGGAGACATTCCCTGGCTGGGAAAACCCATCAGTGGAGTTGGGAGGTGGTTCCCACACTCCCATCAGGGCTCTGCCTTCAGCCTTGGGAATAAATCACTCTCTAGCAGCATCTCCTTTGTTTTCCCACATCCCAGAGGTGTTTCTGCACAGCCTGGGGTGTCCCAGTCCTTGGTTTTCCCGTGTTACCAGTTTATTCCCATGTCTGGGAGTAGGACAGCACTGTGTGTCCCATTCCCAGGTTATCCAGGCCCCAAACCTGACATCCTGTACCGGCTGGAGCGTGGGGAAGAGCCCTGGATCTGCCCATCCTCAGGTGAGCAGGAACATCCCCACCTGGAGTGGTGGCTCCTTCCAAGCTCCAGGTCACTGGTACATCCCTGTGTTCCCACCTCATCCCTGTCTGTATTCCTGCTCCTTGCTGCCCGTTTTGGGGGGTCTCCCCCATTCCCTCCCCATGAAGGGAGATGGAGGCTTTGGAGATGCTGTGGATCTGCTTTGTCTGTCTCTTCCCATGGAGCAACTTCCCCCCATTCAGTCACCTCTGAGCAGGGACAAGGACAGGGCTCCTTCCTCCATCCCCATGGCCATGGAATGGATGGGATTCCCATCTGGGATGGGGACAGGGCTCCCTGCTCCATCCCCATGGCTGTGGAGCAGATGGAATTCCCAGCCAATCCGCTGTTTTCCCGCAGGACACACCGGGAGCTGGCAGGAGGAGCCGCTCTCCAGCTGGCGGCCCAGATCCAGTGAGAGTCCTGGGCTGGAGGAGGGTCCAGATCCCCCAAGTCCAGGTGAGTTCTGATCCCTCTTCTTCCCCTCCTGAGCAGATGGAATTCCCAGCCAATCCGCTGTTTTCCCGCAGGACACACCGGGAGCTGGCAGGAGGAGCCGCTCTCCAGCTGGCGGCCCGGATCCAGTGAGAGTCCTGGGCTGGAGGAGGGTCCAGATCCCCCAAGTCCAGGTGAGTTCTGATCCCTCTTCTTCCTCTCCTGAGCCCCAGGAGCTCCGGCCCCATCCCGGTGCCACTCCCATCTTCTCCCACCACTGGACTCTCCCAGTGTCCAGCAGAGGTTGGATGTGGAGCCCGGACTGGGGAGAAGGCATTTCCCTCTCCCTGCTCTGGCCAGGAAGGATCCAAGGCCTTCCCACCTCTCTCCCAGCAGGCCAGAGCGCTCCGGAGTGTCTCCAGGCTCAGAGGCTCCTGAAGCAGTTGGGCTGTGTGGAGGGAAGGAGTGAATTCCCACTGGAAGCGGCCGGCGGAGTGGAAAGCCAAGCCCAGACTTGCCAGCCAAGCCAAGCCACTTCACAGACGTGTCCTGTGAAGGAAGGAGTAGACATTAAACAGGGAGTCATGGAAAACCTACCCCAGAGCGGGACAGTCCTGCCTCATTGCATGGGGGAACAGCAGAACACGGATCCTCAGGAGCAGCTGGGGGGGGACCCCAGGGAGAAGAGTCCCGGGAGCACCCAAAGCCATGGATACACCTCGGGAGAGTCGCTGCTCCCCCAGGAGCTGCAGGAGCTGGGAGCGGAGGAGCTGAGGGAGGCTGTGATGAAGGATCACAGCTACTGCCTGCAGAGCACGCTGCAAACGCCCAGCTGTGCTCCGGGGCCCCCCTCCACGGGGGAACACGACTATTCCCCAAGGCCCTGGGCACATCCCAGATTCTGCTGCGCCTGGAACCACAGGGCTGCAGCTGCCCAGGCCGTGCTGAGCCGGGCGCTGATGCAGCGATCCCGCGTGGGTGGGATCCTCCGGAAAGACAA